TTTACGAATACATGAATTTCCAGCTCGCTTCGATCGATTTGACATGCGATTATTTCCTTTAGCTAATCATATCTTACACAGCTGGCATACTAAATAGATAGACTAGTTATTAGGTATCCTTTAGCCGCCACTTTTGCCTCATTCGATGACACGACATGGCGCCACAGTGCTGTTTGTCCTTCTCACTGCTGTCTGTCCAATGGGACCAAGGTGACTGGGGAAATTGTGGAGTGTTCTGACAAGGATATGAAACTTATTTGCGCCACGCAAACAGCTGAGCGAAAGGACAACCGCAGAAAAACAAACAAGGAAAGGAAACACGCTTCAATGAGAAGCAGTTAAAACAAAACGAAGCAAAAGAACAATTGCTGTTAACAAACTGGCAAAAGGAGCAAAAGAAATATAAATAAAAATAAAAACATATGAAATAAGTTCAGAGTTAATTCAGTTGGCTGTCGACCCACGCAACGCACGAAGACAATCGTCCTGCAAGACCTGGCTTTGTTAGCGAGCAGATTGAATCCTTGTGAAGGCCGTCGCAGCCGAGACATGAGTCATCCTTAAAGCGGGCACGCATAACTTTTGTGCCATTGTAAAGAGTTCTCTGGCGTCTACACTCAGCGAAACACCTAACCATTTTGTATATATTGAGGATCCTTTTTCTAAATGACAAAAGTCCGTTAAAGAGATTTTTATGTGAACTCTTTACTTTTCGTTATTTGTTTAAAAGTTGCAATATGCAAATTTCTTTTTTTTTATATTTATTATATTATAATTAATGAATTTCATATTCATATTATAGCTTTTTCTCACAGTGTACTTTATAGTCCCGCTGGCTCCACGAAGGAGTCCCAAAAGCTCATAAATTCTCCCATTGCGCTTTTTCTTTGTTTTTTTTTCTTCATTCAATTTTTGCCCAGGCTGATTATGAAATTTCATTGGGGCTCAATTAAGTTGCGTCGAGCACGCGATTTCGTTGCCGAATGTCCCATATACATAGAGATGCACATATATAGTGTCTATATGTATTTATTTATATACACATATATATATAGATAACTGTGTGCAGTTCGCAGTTGCGGTAGGTTTTCGGCGCTGTTCTCGCGTTGTGGGTGGTTCGGCAACTGTGCTTAATGGCCTTTTAAACGTGGCGCCAACTCGCGGCGCTTACCACGCCTCTCGCCCTCACGAACGGAAATGTGCATTTAAGTTGGCTGAATGAGTTTAAGGACCTTCGGAGACGGAGACAGCGTGTTCTGTCACACGCGTTGCCAAACAGCAAATCGATGAACTAATTTGATGGACGTCAGACTTCTGACTTGTGACTGGTTTTTTCGGGGTTCAGTTGTCAAAGGTCAAACTCGAGGGCGTTGATGAGTTGATGTGACTAGAGCCAAAAGTTGCGGGGGAGGACTCCATGTGAGCAATAATTCTAACGATTATAGGCTGCTATTAGTAGAAATGCAGCGCACAGTTACAAGGGAGTGTTTCAAAAGTTCGGGGTAGATAAATATAAGCTGATATACTCGTATTCTCATTTGACATATAGATTAATAAGAAGAGAAGGATAAAGGAAAAGGGTCATAAATAAGCAAAGAATAACTATTGGATGTGATATTAATACAATAACAAGCATAGTACACAAATTAATTATTAATTTTCTTTCTTCTTTCAGCTTTATAAATATTATACAACTTTCAGAGTGAAATATTTGATGTCTATCATATTCCATATGAGATAGGAACAGTTCGATCCGATTAATCAAAGATTAAGCTTATACTTCCGCTTTCAACACGACTCAACTGGTTCCATTCTGTTTGATTATCAAGCACTCACTGTCTAAGAGCTCTGCACCTAACTGGACCTGGCCAAGAGCGACCCGCAAACCCATCAGATTAAGTCCCAAAAGCAGCTTATCGTACTCGACCCAAATCACTTAACTTTCGACCGAGCACAACAACAAGAGGAAGAGTTCCAACAAGAGCAATCGTTTGCACTGCTGGCGCCATCAAGTGCCCATTGTTCCGACCTTTCAGAAGGAAAGAGATAGGCATCTCTTCCTAGTCCTCTCTCCCCAGCAGTGTGAGAGCTGCATGTCAAAAGCGCGTAAAGTTATAAATAAATGAATAAAACACGAATATAATTATAAATAGAGCACAATTGTCAAACAAATAAAAAACACAAAAAAGACGGGACAAAAAAAAATAAATTAAAACAAGTTTTGCCAAGCTACAAAAAATGCTGAGGAAGTGATGAGGCGGAGAGGGAAGGAGAGCGGGGGATGCTACGAAAAAGCAAAGCCAAAGGCAGTAGTCGAAAAAATCAAAATACGTGGGCAGAACTTCAAAGCAGAAGAAGACTCAGCTGAACGACTAAGAGATACCCAGTAAAATGAACTCAAAGAGCATTTTTATATTTGTTCACTTTTTCTTCTCAGCTTTTTTTTAATCTATTTAGAGTTACATGTGGACACTGATTAGTCTCAAATCAATACACCCGCTGTCATCTACTTGCGTGGTATTCGAACAGAGAATGTCATGGAGCTTATCAAGAAAGTGCGTGTCAAAGCGCACAGAACAACAATTTTTATTTCCTTGAAAAACTTGCGACGAACTTTTGCCTGTTTCCATAAGGAGTATAAGAAGAATAGCAAGAGTTATCGCTGTGGTACAATCAATTTGACGGGGGTTACGAGAGCAACCCCAAAATTGGGAAAACTAAATCGAATTCATGGTGCATTCAACTTGTATATCAATAAAAATCGATTTAGCCTCCCAACACGGAAGCACTTTGCTCACTAACTGCCCCCTTTCCCCATTACTCCAGTTGCCCCTCTCAGTCCTGCTTATTAGGTCGAACGTGCCTAGGCAAATTGTCTGCGCCCGGTTTCCGGCCTTTGCCTGCCATTCCACTTCAGTCCAGCCTGGCCTAATAACGGACAGGGCTCCAGCAGTTAAGGGCAACCCGATGTCGCCCCATGCCTCTGCGTCACATACTCACTCCCCTTCCCCTCCCTTTCCCCTTCCCCGAAAGCGCTTGAGCTAACAGTTTCTGGTTATTTGATGGCGCAATAAAAGCCTTTGATTATGATGTCGCCGTATTCCTTTGAGTGCTGCAACTTTCCATGTACCTATCCTCTGTTTTTTGGGTGTTGGAACCCCCCCCCCCCCCCCCCCACGATACATTGTTCAACACACACTTTTTGCACGTTTCCCTGGTTGTTGTTGTTTTTGTTGTTCAGTCTGCTGCTTGTCTGGTGTTTCATTATTTACAGCCTCCCCCAATGGCAAGGAGAATAAAGAAGAAAGAGAGAGAGAGAGTCGGCGAGCCGGCGAGGCACAACTCAAATTTTGGAATACTTTCTGAAGCTAGCCACACTTCACAGTTAAATTTATGTGAGTTCTTTTTAGCTGCTTTTTTTTGCTCTCTTGGAGGAGCACTTGGGAGACAGGCGAGATTTTTAGGGCGCATTAAAAATTCATTAACTTAGCAACTTTGAAGTCTGAATGCTGCCAAAATACAATTTGGCTAAAAGACAAAAAACGAAAGGAAGAAGTTTACAACCAGCTGCTTAGCAACTTACTAAATTAAGGTTAGCTGATCTTATAATATAAAAAATATATATGATAATTTGAATATACTGAACTTGACTATAAATATACATATTTTTTTTTGGCATTCCCGCTGAACAGTGGTATTTGTTTTATTAACATTATTTATATTTCTTATTTTAGAAAATTTTGAAAATATATTTCAAATATATTCTAATAAATTTGTATCAAATTCTACTCACCTGAATTGATTTTTGTTATTTGATCTCCAAATGCAAAAAGATTTTTAAATTGATTTTTGTTGAAGCTAAAATATCGAATGGAAAAGAAAACACAAAATCTAGATTAAATTCACGTTTGACGATTGTGTTTTTTTTTTACTATTTGCACACGATAAAAAACTTCAATTTAAAGAGGAACGAAAATTAAAATTAAAGCATAACGGCATATAAATAGGAGCCTCGAAAGTTGCAATAAAAGCCTGTGGCACAAGGCCACTGTAGTAGAGGGTGTTAGAAAGAGAGAGGTATATTCAAGGACTAGTCAAAGCTACAAGTGCGGTGCGTAATAAATGAACAGCCCGTTCCAATTCCAAGCACACACACACAGATACAAAACACTCACTCACACACGCACACACACACACAAAGAGCAAGAAGCTAACTGGACATAAAAGTAGCACGTTCATGACGTCATAGGTGCCAATAGGATGCTGCGCGGGCTTCCCAATCAAATTGACCAAATCTCCAGTTAACTTGAAATCACAAATTTCTAAGTATTTGGCACTCTTCACACAAAACGCACAAAATTACGCGCTAAAAACTTGCAGCACTTTTGAATTGTCGCTTCCACGAACTGTTCTAATAAAATATGTTAATTGGCTTGTGATAAGGAAAATGCGTTTTAAATTGAAATAGGTATATAGAAAACTGCGCGTAATTGTTGTTTGGGGAATTTGCCCGCTGGCTTTTGCGCTATTTAATTACTATATTTTATTAAGCATCTGACACGCGCGTACAACCTTACCGCTGAGCATTTGTTTCAAGACTAAAGCAGGGCTATCGATTTGAATTGTGTCATCGATTTAAGCGCGTAAAGATTCAGTTGAACGGTTGCACCCAACTTCAAACGGCGCACTTTTGCTCACCCGCTATGTTAATTTAAATTGAAATGTTAACCGCTTTTCTGGTATAGAATGAAGAATTTCATTAACATGGAAGCCAGCTCTGTTAATTAACAGCTAGCAGTTAATAGTTAACGATTCACCTTTCAAAACCCGATTGAACTTATCAGAAAAATTGTTAACTTATTAATACTCAATGATCTTTCAAAGTAAGCTGACAGTGCGTAACTTACATTGGATGCAACTACTCTTAAGACTACATTTATTTTCAAACAGCTATTTAATGAAACTATTTCAAAATTTGTTATATTCTATTTGAAGCTTCTTAACATCATGTTAACCGGTTAAAGAAAACCAATGTTTATTTACGTATCTTATCACAAAATGTTATAGCGAACACCTTGGTATATTTGAACTAATTGACAAAATGGTCTATAAAACTAACAATAAATTGGAAGTTCTAATGGAATACAAATATTTATCATTATCTAGGCTTTTTTCTCGCCTCGTGAGCAAACTCAATGCGACTGCGTGGACGCCAGAGCTCCATCAAGCGCAACGTAAAGTGACTCACGACTAGGAAAGCCAAAAACCATGATCCACATTGATAGACAGCATAAATCAGTTCGCTGAGCGTAAATGCGCGTTCTTTTAACACTCGATCGTATACCTTGATCGTACGCTGGGCCACATCCTCCCAGTTGTAGAGAGTTTCCACCAGTTCATTGCATCTGTGTGGACAGAGCTCTGGCCCTGCCTGCTTACCAGTTGATCCTCCATCTCCAAAGACAGTTGTTGCCCCTCCTCCTATTGCTCCTCTAGTATCTCCTGCTGCTCGTGCAGGTGTTCCTTCCCCACCTGCTAATCTATCAGTTCCTGCTGTCCCATCATCAGCTGCTCTTTCAGCTGTTCCATCTCCAGCTGATGCTGTGACAGATTTTCCAGGATCGCCCCCAGCTGCTGTGCCTGCTTCTACTGTCATCGCACCGATTGCAGCTCCATTTGCTGGCCTAGCCGTGCCTTTCTTCTTCCTCTTACGCTTCGCTCTTCCATTACCTTCCTCTATCTTAGCCACCTTGCAAATCCTGCGATGTCTATCGATGGCTACTAATATAGCCGCATATATAGCTTCTATGTCCGGCTCGGCAAGCAGTATTAGGTTATTGGGCAACACTTCCGGAATGCCACCCACACTGGTGGATACCACTTGAAGGCCACAGCTAGCGGCCTCCACAATGGCCATGCAGTAGGCCTCCGTCAATGAGGTGTTAACAAAGATGTGACCACGCACAAGGACATCACGCACCTCGGCATGCTTAACAGCGCCCAAAATCTCGACACGATCCTGCATATTTGTCTTCTCACGAATCTCCTCCAGAAGATCTCGTTTAGGACCATCTCCAACTATAATAAAATTAATATTTGGGGTATTCTTAAAGCGTGGGATTACCCCTGCCAGCAGATCGATGCCCTTGCGGTAGACCAAGCGAGACGCAACGACTATATTTATGACTCCGTTGACGGGTCTCTGTGAAGGGTCAGGTGTGAAAAGCGCGGTGTCCACAGCATTAGGTATGACAGAGACGCGATGTTTTGCTACACGAGCACGCAACACGGTATTCTCCTTGCCAATGTGAGAGACGCAGATGGCATGGTTCACCATACTCAACGTAATTTCCAAGAGCTTATTGGTCAAGGCAGCAGAAAGATCAGCAAAGCCAAACAAGCTGTGATCCGTGAAGACAGTCTGCAAGAGTGGGAAAGAAAACAGTTGCATTATACAATATACAAATATAGGTTTCAATTCAGTCCAACCTTCAGTCCAAGCAGCGCGCCCACCATCAAAGCCTCGTGAGCCAGCGCGCTAAATGCTGAATGACCATGGACTACGTCCACTTGTTCGCGCAAAAGCACGGCTCGCAGCATGGGCACATTGCAGACGGCAGTGGGCAGGATGCATTGATTGTAGCACACCTTTATGGGCAGGTAATAAACCTTCAGGCCATGCGTCATATGACGAATGCCGCTGCAATCTCCATAAGCGTGCGTCAAAACAACAACCTAAAGATTAGATAAGATATTCATATATTTATACATATGGTTATATATATAGAGATCCAAATTAGTTGGTATTCTCTATAACCATTTGGATGCACTTTGTCCACCTTGTGTCCCAATGCCAGCAGCATTTGAGAGAGATTGTATATATGTTCCTCGACTCCACCAATGCTTGGATAAAAGAAGTCCGATACCATGCAGATACGCATTTTTCTTCCCATTTATTGCAATTTGCCAGCTCACATTCAGTTGACATTACACACAAATAAAAGTATTTATTTATATTTTAAAATAAAAAAATGAGCAAACTAAAATCAAGTTGAGTTTTTACATTCAGAGTATGTTAAACTACATAGTTCATTGCAGTTAATCGAGTTTGTTTGAGCCAGTTACTTTTGAACTGAAAGGTTTGACTCAAAGTTGTAGTTTTTCTCAATTAAAATTTATGTCTATACATAAGGCATATAACGCAATAATTTATATGTGTTAAGTAACGTAACTTCTTACTAGAAACAAAATAAATATTCTATTTGGAAATTCTATTTTCAAATACTCGTCTGCAGAACTGACTCATTTTAGGAACACAATCAATGTTATTAACAGCAGCGGATGCACATCGATATGACATATAACATTTCGATAGTAAAGAAGCCACATTTGTTTTTTATTGTGTGGCGGCAATTCTGTAAGCACTGGCCCGCATTGTAACCAATGTCATAAGAAGTAGAATATGTTAAATATTAATGTTTTAAAATCCGTGGTTTTAGAAAATGATAATCTATTTCATCGATCTAAATAAATTTATTTTTCTGCATGACGGTTGCCTTGAAGTATAAAACAATGTTTTTAACAGTACGAAATCATATATCGATACTAAAAATATTGTGTCGATAGTAATGTCTCCCTTAACAATTTAATGTGGCGGCATTTTGTGTACTCACTGGCGGCGCTTTTGTTTTGGTGCGCTTAAGTCTTGTGAAATTTACTTTAATTACAATACAAATGTACCAGCAGCATGCCAAGCAGCTCGAAAAATTCGGATGCAGCTGATATGAAGACGCCCACTCGGGCGTACAACAGCAGCAGCAGCAGCAGTAGTGTCCAATCAACGCCAACAGGCAGCTGCCGGCTGAGACAGGCACGCAAAAGACGTCGCATCGAAAAGGAGAATCCACAGCAACGTAGACCCAGTCTCGACTCACAACTGGGAGATTGTAACATAGAAGATGCCAAAGAGATTGATCGACGGCTTCGCAAGGTGGCACGAGCCAATGCAATTAGCAGCGAGGACATGCACAAAGTCGTGCGCAGAGTCGTGCGGAATGAACATGTTCTTGCCCTGGTTACACTGAAAGCTGAGGACGAGTTGGCCCGGGAGAAACGCGAGGCAGCAACATTTAAAGAAGAAGAGCTGCAGCAGCAGCGAGGAGCCATCATTATCACAGAGACGCCCTCGGTGCCAAAATTAACTCGCGCTAAAGCTCGCGAGCTGAATCGAACTCCGGGCATAACGCTTCCGCATTTGAATGAGACACCTTTGAATGAGATTGAGGTGCTAATACGGGACGATCTGCACTCGGACGAGGAGGACGAGGAGTACACCTTCAAGGAGGACGATTTTCATGTGGGTTACAATAATTTACCGAAAGCTTACTCTGAATTTACTTCCGCCATTTAGTCAGATGAAGATCCAAATACCACGGCCTCTGATTTCGATTCGAATCCCTGCACACCGCAAACCCCACTGACTGCCACTGAGGAGTCGCCGGTCAAATTCACCTCCGATGGCTGCTTTAAGCTACCACCCGACAAAAATTCAGAAGATCCACGCATTGCGACACGCACGCGTTCGAAATTCTGTTTGCAGCAGACAACAATCGAGGATTTGCAATCAGAGTTTATACCACCAGATGTGGAACAGAGCGATGTGCTCGAATATGATATGACGGCCAATGATGCCGAGTGGATGCAGTTTCTCACTGACTTCTCTAAGCCGTTAAGTAAGTGCAATTAACGCAGCAATTATCCGATCATTCAAGAGAGAGAGAGTCCTACAAACAATTCTTTATTCCATCAGACTGTTGAACAGTCAGTAATCAATGAAGGCAGTCAATCTGCAAGCTTATCAGTGACGTTATCCGTCAGTTATTGAATGATAGAATGAATAAGTCAAACACTCTGATACTAAATCAATCAATTTGTTTCAGAAGCTATCAGCGTAAACAGTCAGTCAATCAGCTATATTTTCGATCAGTTAATAGTCAATCAAATTAGTCATTTGACACTGCCAGTTTTCAACAAGTTAATCTGTGAAAAAGTCAATCATATGAGTCATGCGTAAGTCAGAAGTTAATTGATAAATAATTCGATAGGTCCAGGAGGTTGATAAGTCAGTCGACCAAATCAGTCAAACAACCCGATTTAGTTAAATCAGTTATTCGCCCATTTGCCAGGCTATGAACCATTCCGCTGGTCCATCAGAAAGTAAAAAACAAGAAAATTTGTCGGTCAGTCAATCTGTCAGCGAGGCTATCGATCAATCATGTCTTTTGTTAATCAAATATAAGACAGTCAATCGAGTTAGCTAGTTAATGGAGTCAATCATTCTGTTAGCTTGCTAATCAGTCAGTAATGAAGCCATTCAGGCAATCCGATCCGACATCAGTCAATCAATTTGAAAATCTATGGATCAATCATTCAATTTTGAGTCAAACTAACTGTAAATGAATCCATCAACAATCAAATCAAGAGACGTGCAATACATCTGCCTATTTTCTCTATATAGACAACAGTTTCCTGGGCGATGATGATGATCCGATCAACGATCCTGAGTATGTTGCCGCTGAGATGGTGCCTGTGGATGCGGAAGAGTTGCGGGATGTGAATATCTCGAAAAAAGAGCTTACGGATTTGGTCTCTGAACTGTTTGCTGGCCTGTTGCAGGAGGGAGTGTCGCTGGACTCCATTGAATTGGAGACGCCACAAAAGTTCCTGCACCAACAGGAAATACTTCCTGCTTCACCAGTCTCTGCTCCGCCAGCCCCAGTCCAGCTGCCCATGGATCCTATTGAGCAAGTAACTCGTCAAATAGATTTTGATGTGCAGGGCACAGTAGATGCTGCGGATGTAACCATGGCAGCTCAACCGGGATTAGACAGGTTTCAGCCTCAGTTGATGTCTACGCCGAGCACAATGCCTGCCTTAGTATCGGTGCCCATAGCTGAGAATTCTTTGAATGGCAGCCACTTTGATGCCTCCTATACGGTGGTCAACATTTCGGCTGATGCAATTGGACAACCTCCAGAATTGATAGCTGTGCCCCTCCCGGGCCAACCCAATTGTTTTCAGCTGGCCAAGGTGTTAACGGCAGACAGTGGATATCAGCTACAAGTTACTGCTCCTACTTCTGCGCCTGCTGCTGCTGCTCCTTCCCCAGATCCTGTCCCATTTGCTTATCCGGAACCCTATGACATCAACTTCTCTTGCAAATATCTGTCGATCCGCAGGCATTTGCACTCCGAGTACGAGGCGTATTTTGAGAGCTTGCGTCATGTAAAGCCAACTCCGGTGGAACCACCGAGCAACGCCAAAGGATTTACACAGATGCAGCATGATCTTCTCCAGCAACAACTACGCATACACACCCAAATGCTGACGCAGACCTTTCTGCAGACTTATTCGCATCCGTTGCTCTATGGGATGGCGAATAAGCCAAAACAAATGTTGCAGGAGCTGCAGCAGCATGCTGTAAAGGATGCCAGCTTTAATTGCTGGAATCTGAATGGGGCTATGGAGCTGATCAATAAATGGGAACACGATCTCAGCAGCGATGAATACAAGGAGCAGAACCAAAAGATGATGCGTTTTATACACAAGGAGGCGGAACTAACGTAAGTACACTATTGAGAAGCTATCGGTAGATATGATGCATTGTTGATGCCAGTTTGGAGTCAGTCATTTATATCTCATAGTTTCCTTTACATTCAACAATCTTCAATATTCATTTCCAACTAATCTTATGAACTCCTTATTTCTCACTTTCAGTGACGGACATACCCGTCAAGTGCCACGCCTGCCGCCCCGCATCATGGATCTCATGCTCGACAGCAAAGTCTTTATGTATCCCCAGTATTTGCCACGCATGGCTTTTCAGCCACGAACTGTCCAGTTCGCTGCCTATGCCCCATCGGAATATCAGCTCATCGCAATGGGTCTTGAGAAACATCTGACGGCGATCAAGTGTGCCGATATACCGTTGCGGAAGGGCGCAGATCCCATACGCATTGCGTGTAAGCGCATGGTCAAGGATCTGATACATGGCAAGCAGGCACGCCGACTGTTTGTCAAGATCAAGGAGCTCTGCGACTTGGAGCAATATAATCCTGTTAAATATTACTTTGACAACGAACGAGCACCCCCTGTCAATCAAATACTGCTGGGATTCGAGGGCGGTACTGTGCGTACGCCGCGGGAACAATACTATACGCTGCCCAGTTGCTGGAAGTATTACATTGAGGTAAGTGCATGAGTGTTATAAAAAAACTAATTAAAATAACATTTCATTGGCTGACAGACTGTTTGTTGATAGACGCAGATCTCTAACAGAAAGAGATAGAAGTCTAAATGTTGTACAGAAGTTAGAATTTAACGACGTTATTGAAAATTTCTGAAAACTAGACAATTATTGAAAGCTCATTTTATACTTGCGAGCGTTACACATTTAATCCGGGGGAAAATCTCTATACATGTTGGATGAATACAAAAATAATAGGTCTAAGATGTCGGTTAATGGCCGACACGGTCCCTAGGTATCAGACGCAGCTCGGAGCCATGCTTGAGAAACACATTGCCCGCCGTCTGCTGTGGACTTATTCCAATGCCGTCGTCTGTGATGATGGCGCTTGTCTCTGCGGGCACCTTGAACTCTTCGGAGGCGAACTTCAGCACAGCTGTGAAGGGCGTCGCTTCTGGCACGCTAAGTACCTTGAATGGCAGCTTAGGATCCGATGTGAGCGTTATTTTAAATGTCACTTTGCTCATTTTGTTTGTCTGTTTAGGAATGCGGAATGCGAATTCTGTGACGTGGTCAGTTTTTGTTGTAGCTGCCAGCTGTTGTGCCAACTGAGGTGTTAGGGTTTTTTATTGATGGCTTGGTCACGGCAATATCTGTTGGAATTGAAAACTTATTAGTTTTGACCAATGAAGTTGTATTAAAGCGTAAATTTAATTGAAAACAAAAAATTTCTATTTCGCTCTTACGCTCAGTGATGTGTAGAAGAACGATAGCACTCTTCATCTTTGCTATCTAAATTTGCAATGTAATCGATAAACAACTAATAGCTTCTTCCATCACTGACTGTTTATGGTACTTGTTTTATGGTTTCAATTTGAACTTAAAATTATTTAACTATTGATGGCATAACTAAAATTCATACAATTATTTTATACGTGTGTCTATTATGTTAGTGATTTTTTTACCTATTAACTAAATGCTCCTCAGTCAATTTAGCCTTTTTTTTGATAATGGGCACCACTTTTGGAGTGCTGCATAAATTTCCCGCTTTATTATCGAAAAATCAACATGTTCTATCGATAAAATATCAACAATTCCGCTGTTTACATCAAAGTTTGTTAATATGCTAACTTTTTTGATTGAAAATATGGTCAACATAATGTAAATTATAAAAATTGTTGCAGAAAAACTGGACTAACGACAAACGTGCCCCCCGCAGCAACAATAAACACATTTCATCACGTGCCTCATCAGCAGCGAGTGCATCATATTTGGAGTTTGTTCGCGAGGCGGTGGGAGAAGATTTATTGTTGCCCGAGAGTTTAGGCGAGGCTGCGGCGCCACATGGCAGTGCCACGGGCTTGGCTCAGTCAACCACACACACACAAACCAAAGCAGAAGGGAGCAGCACATCTAAGTCAATACGCAAACGTTCCAGCCGATCCGAAGAACGGAATTTGTCCTCGCTGACCATTAATGTTAATTACGTGTTTGGCAGCGATTTAGGAGTCAATTCCTTCAAAGCCGGCGTCTCTGTGCCATTTCAGCCTGCGGATTACTCCAGCAATGTGGAGAACATAAATCGTACACTCCACACAAGCAGCGAGTGCAGCGTATTAGCGCTGCCGCCACCGTTGCCGCCACTACCAAAGAATGCACCGCCCGCTGTAAATCTTTGTTTTGATGCTGAATCAAAAACTGTTAAGATCCTAGAATTGGACAAATCTGCAGAGCAAAAGAGCGAGGAGCAAAAGACTGACAGCTTTAGCAGCCCTGCAGGCAGTGCCAAACGAGCTCGTTGTCGGATTTATAAGCGTTTGGTTGTGGCACGCCCGCATCGACCACGCGGCTTAGCCTCAGCATCAACATCGCCATCTGTGCCGCGCTGTCGCTACCACGTGTTGCGGCAGCGATTACGCCATAAGCTGCGGCAGCGCTGCCAAACGCTTATCACCTCCTACGCCAACTACCTGCAGCAGCAGAGCAAACTCTACGTGCACTCACCGCCTGTGCAGCACTATCACAGACGTTTCTTTGCTCTTGAACTGTACACACAGCTACTGGTGGATTTGAAGATGTTTTGCGAAAACAAGAGTACGACAGAAGCTACCCCGCAGCAAAAGCGTCAGCGTAGCGAGGAGGCGGCCCGCAATCGACGAGCCAATCGGCAAGAGGAGATGTTGCGGCATATGCTACAGCCGGATAGTCCAGAAGAGCGTAATCGCAAGGATGCCAGTAAGATATCCCCCATAGCTAATTCTATCAAACTTATTTAAATAACTGTAATTTTAGCTTTTGCCTACAACTTCTACGAGAAAGTAGAGGAGGCATTACTGTCCTCTAATCGCATGGACGATTGCCACAAGTTCAACCATCTGCTGCAAACTTTCGATCCCAAGCAGGATAAGGTTGCGGATTTGTATTTGGTAAGTGCTGTACTTTGACACGTTCTCACTCTATATATATAAATCTATCTCTCCAGAAAGTGGAAAAATTATTGCTGCCCGATTATCCAGAGCTGGCGGAGGTATTTCTTAACTTTTTGCTACCTGCAGAAGCCGCTGAGCTCGGAAAATTTTTTGAGTACTTCATGATCACCAACGCGAGCAACTTTATTAATAAGCTGAATATATACTTTTGTAAGCAGCCAGCACAAATACGCAAGATATATGCCTGCCTCAGCGAACTAGCCGAGATACCCAACGTGAGCATGAAAAAGGTTGAGGCAAAGATTCTGCCTCTGCTCAAAGGCAATCAGTTCTTATGCGATTGGTTTGTTCAGCAATTCCCACAGGCCAAGCCACCAAAGCGGTTCGTATAACAGCTTTTTCGTATATGTATATATTATATATACTTATAATTCATTCTTATTTCTTTTAGGGTGCTGCCGCCTGCGGAGACCATGAATTTGCACGAGGTACTCGGCAACACGAATGGCTTATTTGCAGAAACTATACAAGATCTGCACGATGATACGCCGCCGCAGGGCAAACCGCCGGGCTGTCAATTAAAATATCTCAACGGGCGCATCTTTTATGGCGCTAGGGCTATGTTGCCCGCTAAATTATCTTTTCGGGCTGCCAATCTCTATAATGAGCAATGTCACGAGCCTCTCAGCAGCAGCTTGACCTGTGCCCATGGCGTGCGCGTCCAGGGCGAGAAGTTGATCAGCGCTGCCATAACTGTGGATAGCGATGATGCAGCTGAGCGAAGTGAAGAGGATGATGCCAGTCGTACATTAGTAATAGATACCACCACTGGGGACGAGGAGAATAGCAGCTCATCGCTGGACATGTGTGATGATGTGGCCCTGAGGGCACATGCAATGCGACTGAATGCCAGTTATTATAGCAGTAGCAACAATAATAATGTGAATAGCAGCACGCCTAATGTGGGTCATTATCATGGCCATCACCACGCGCATGCAAAGAAGACGGCCATTAACTTTGGCGAAACATCTCCTCGTCGTCAGGCGGCAAATAATATGTCTCCGTTATCAGGGCTCAGTCCTTTGCTTGCAACAGCAAGTGGCGCCTCGCCCCAGCTGGACAAGCGCAAATCGCCAAGCAAAAAGGTGCGTTCGCCTTCAAATCAGAACCAAGCACGTCCACGCTACAATGTTCAGCCCATGGTGGTAATACATGAGTCGGCAGCGCGTGCGCCGGCGCCTGCCTCGCCGGCCATTGAGTTTGCCAAGCGGCTGCGAACACTGATTAGTCAGGACAGCAGTGAGCCAGACAACAAGGCTAGCATACAAATCATAGCGCAAGCCAAGCAGCCAAGTACTTCAGCATCTGATGCCAAGATGGAACTCAGCTCGCAGGATAATAAAGAGTTTTTGGCTGTGGATGCAACTGATGGCCTGGATTCTGATCTGTCGCTGTCCCAGCAACCGTTTCCCGCCATTAAAATGGACATTGAACAGTCCAACGATGAATTGGCGAGCTCAGGGAGTACGCCACAGCATGTGATAACGACACAGTTCGACAGCGATGAAGACTGCAAACTAGACGTGGTGGCTAGTCTGGCCAACTGCGTTGAGCCAGAGACGGAAACAACGACTAAGCCAGAAGCCAGCATATTCAAACCACCGCCTGTGCCGCCCAGCATAACGACAGCTTGGACGCGTGAAGAGGACAAAGTGATACTCATTGAGATGAAGCGTGGTGCCCGGGATCGTCAGCATCTAATTAAGCGCATGGGCGCAAAGCTAAAAAACCGCAATGAGCTCGAGATCCGAACACGTCATCAATTTTTAATGGACTTCCTATCAAAGCTGCAGGGCAAATAAAACACTGCGACTAGAGATAGTTGCTTTTAGTTGGATTTGATATTTATATCAGAGATTTCTTTTACGATCAACATCAATTGTTCTTGTCATGGTATGAATCCAATAGCTAAACATCATTGTAAATAAATTTTAACATTCAGTTTAGGGTCACAACTCATTACAAATTAGTTTAACATGAATGACTACCTTTGTCTGTTATTATAAACTTCATTGTAAATTATATTTAGAATCCTCTCAGGATGAGGTGAACACAATTAAGCACTGACTCGTTGAATATTAATTTAACATTCATGTTAAAATTAACTTTAGTTAAAGCCTCATTGCAACTTGTAAGCTTAAATTGTATATTATTATTATCATTAAAGCCTACTTCTTATAAGTTAATCTAAGGCATATGCCATATGAAAAGTATTTTATTTAATACTGTTCGCAGATTTATAGATCTGATAAATCAAATTTACTTTGTTTGATGTTCCGAATACCTGAATAAATAAACTAAGAAATGTATATAAGAAATTATAATTGGATATGATGAGCTGGACAAAATTACAAATATTGGCAAAATAAGCTGAATCTGATCAGAGTTTTTCGGGGGACTGAAGAATAAATAATATATTAAATAATAAATTAAACAAAATAAATAATATACAGTAAATAAATATTAAACAATAAATACTAAATGTTTCATGATCAATGAAAATGAATCTCGCATGCATTAATTTTTTGTACGTAGAATATGGAAAAGTCTTCCAGTAATTATATTCACTAGGATCACATAGCGCAGGAGCCCAACTGGTCATCGTCCTGCACAACTGGCTGCTGCATGCAACCGCTGGCGTCGGTGGTGAATACTACTGGCTGCTGCTGCGGCTGTGGTTGTGCCTCTTCCTCCGCCTGACAATCATCTGTAAAAGTGAATGTGCCTGCCGTCAACTTGCAGTGGTTCGCATCCGCGCAGTCCAAATCACTGCTCCAACTCTCGCAGCCACATTGCGGCGCCTCTTCCGGTGGCAGCTGCTGTGCCTCGACAGTGCTTACATGTTCCTCGGCGTGAGACTGCCGGCGCCGACGACGACAACACCGTTGACAGCCACGGCCTATGTTGGTGAAGCAGCAGAGGCGAAAGCAAACATCCGACGCGCCGCGCAGGCAGGTAAAAAACTCGGGCATAAAGCTGGGATTAATCACAGCATAGACTACAATGTTCATGCTCAGCTGCAGAGTATTGAGTGTTATAAATATGACCTCCAGATGCTCCATCAGTTCTCCATTCACTTTATTTGGGTCGCCGCCAAAGAGCAGATTCAGCGAACTCTTCCTCGATGTCATATGAGCTGGCAGCTCCCCAACCATGTAGAGCGTAATGACGATTAGAATGCTGATGGTGAGCTTTATTTGATGCTGCAATAGAAGTAAAAGATTACCATATTTTAAGGCTAACTGAAGGATTTAGTTAGAGCAATACCTGATAGCGTTTGTTTGTATTGCGATTGTCAGTTGAGCCGCTCTGCTGGCAACGTTTGCCCTGTTTAGTCCAACGCCGGAAAGCGACTATGATGGCCACATTGCCCATGAGCAGACATATGGCAGGAGAAATCGCTAGCAGTGAAAACGAGAACCAGTTGTGGATCCGATACAATCTGTAAAGCGAATTCAGGCAATGAGCATGATCACAAACTACCAGGCAGGTCTCACTTGGAGTAGTAGAAATCGGTAACATAGCAAGTGCCGGTATCCAAGTCAACGACAAAGCAAAAAAAGTACGGTATGTTAAGCAATATAGAGATGATTATAGCCAAGCAGATCATTAGTCGAGCCACCTTGCGGCGACAAAAGCGGGGTGCACCATTGTTGGCCGCAAAACGTGACAAGTAGACGAATCTGTCAAGGCTAACAAAGGCGAGTATCAAATTCGCAGCACCCGTGCTGATGCCAAAGAGCGGCGTCTGCCACTGGTAGTCGTAGGCCAACCAGGCGGGACTCTGGTAGAAATAGCTGCGTGAGAGTGCGGTCAATGTGATCAGCAGACAGGATACACAGTCCAGCCAGGATAACGCAGCGAGGTAGGTAAAAGCCGAGGGCGTCATCTTGGGTCGCATGAAGACCACACCATTGATTAGATTCGCGCAGAAGCCAAAGGCGGACAGCATAGGCACAGCCAGGCCATAGATCAGAATTAAGGAGACAGTCGGTTCCGAACGCTGGAATATGCACTCATCGAGCCCGTGGATCTGAGGACTGAGATTGATGTTCGAGTTGTTTCTGCCACTGTTCAAATTCAGGACAAAGTACTCAAACATGTCTGACTAACTGACTGATTGCTGACTTACTGAAGAGGTGCGAGCAACATGTTTATCTAATTATTTGCAAATTCAGCCGATAAGATTATCTATAGTTTACGCACACATAATGTTAATTTCTGGGCAATCAGCGATAACCAAGCACTCAAGTTTTCGAAGAGCCTAGCACCGACTACAGTTGAACAAGGATGGAATAGTTGTTGTGCTATACTAAGATCATATTCTGATTACAATTCATATTAATTTAATTTGCCTTTAATCAAAGAGAGAGAGAGAGACTTTAAATGTTATTAATAATTAATTACTTTGCTTGCTGCAGTATTTAACACAGTGAGAATTGCATAGAAGGGCATACATATTTTTAAAAGCTTTTTTATGTATGAGAACCGAAAAGAAAAGTCAAAGCTTTGATGTGTTCGTAACACTCTACTTAAAAATATTAACAAGTCTTTTTACTTTATCAACCTTTGTGAGCCAGTCCCACGATATCTGAGCAGTTTCTTATGACGTATCTTGGGTAGTTCTGAACTGAAATCATATTTGATGTCAAGTTAAATTTATCATAAATTTATCACTTTTAATAAACAATTTTTAAGCTATGAAAATTGCATAAGGCTAAAAACTATGTACTATATATGATCTGTGCAGCTATACTAACTCTACTTAGCTTTCATTCATGTCTTCTGAATTTTTACAAGTTTTGTTATTTTACTTTAACTGAAGTTATGCTCAATCACATTTTAAGTAATACCTAATGCTTATATACTTTAATAACTTTATATGCTTTATTAACTTTACTTAGTCTATCAGAACTGGATAGAAAGACAATAGAATTAAAATTAATAAATTATATTATTTTATTTAAGCAAATTGCACAAAGCCGAAAGGCGAAAGCATGTACTCTTCTTATAAAGCTGTATTGAGCTCTGATATTGCGCTAATCTATCATTTATGTATGCAAGTAAATATGTATATGATTAACAATCCGTTTGATAGTGTATTTTTTATTCGTTTGTATGCTCGACAGCATATTGTTTGGTCATTGCCTTTGATTTAGCTCTGTTGTATTTCGTGCGGTTGTTGCTGATTGGATTTATGGATAACGTAGGTACACCGAGTCGTATATCTATTGGCATACTTACGCTGTTGTACCAGCTATCATATCATATTAGTACAGTGGAAAACCAGAGAGCGTTTGCTTCTATCGATAATATCGGGATTTTAGATATTTTGTTTGAAGTAATTTATTAAGTTGAATTTAGGTTTTTGTTTTGTATTACATATATATATATATATATATATATATATATATATATATACATATATATATATATATATATATGTATATATATATATATAGTATGCTTACGGCAAACATCGAGATTTGTATTTGATTTGATATACATATATATTTTTGTAATTTGTTGTTGAATTTGTACTAAATTAATGCTTGTTTTTGTTTTGGTTTCCTTTTATAATTAAATATGCGATTTAAAAAAACACACACATATGAGTTTTTCAAAAATACTTTAAAAAATCATTTAAATATGTTTTGTAAAAATGTTTTTGCTATATAAATTAAAAATCAAAGACTAACAATAGATGTATATATATTCATACATACATATATATGTATATATGTATATGCATTTTGTATAGTTCCATAGTAAAATTAATTGTTATCTAAATGTAAAAGTTAATGTTAAATGTTAAATGTTAAGTGTTAAATGTTAATGCATAAATATTTTCAATATTTTAAACAGACTTGGAAATTTTGTTTTATTCGCATCAAATTTATTAAAGTAATAAATTAATTATATATATATTTAGTTAATCGTACTACACACGCACACATACACATATATATGTATATATCATATTCATTTATATAGTAAATATATAGTTAATCATATTCGAGCAAATTTCTATGCGTAGAGTACATTCTGTTAAACTTGAACTTTAAGTGGTACTCGTCATAGTCATACGTAGTCACAAAATTTAGTTATATATATATATATATATATATAAATCTATATATATATACATATATATTTATATATATATATATATATATATATATATATATATATATATATATATATATATATATATATATATATATATATATATATATATTGTTTCTTACGATTTATATGTATTTGGTTTTGACTTTAGATATTTATTTGACTGTTGTGAATTAAACTCTTTGTTAAATGCTTCAAGTTCGGAGTTATACATTTATATACGAATATATATGTATGAATGAATTACGTTAGATTTTGAACAAATTTCAAACTATTTTAATATACTTTTTAGGTTTTAGTTTTTAGTTTTTTGTTTTTAGTTTCTTGTTTTTAGTTTTTGTGCCCTAGCATTTAGCACATAGCTTGGCTACTGAGTTGTTATACGATAAATTTCTAGACGACTTGCTCATTATATATATTTTTATATTTTTATTAGATTATGAATATTTGCTCTATATGTGTACTTTGTTTTTGTTTTGTTTTGTTCTTGCTTTTTAACTCGTAAAATTTCAGAGTATTTCAAATTATTTAAGCGTCTAGAAAGAAAGAGAGGCACAAAAGCTTAGCTTAGGTAGCGCTACACAAAATGTTTAATTTTGAATTAAATTTTAAGTAATTTTATGATTATTTAGCGTTCTTTTCTTTTTGGTATTTCTTTCGGTAGCTGAAGTTTTTGATATACAAATATCCATGCGGATATGGTATATATGTTAAGCTTACAGTAGATTGTCTTTCCTCAATAGTTAAACAGTAATTTTTTAGCTGCTAAGTTTTCTTTTAGCTAGGTACTAAAGTTTCCACCCATAGATAATATGTGTATATATTATCTAGGCATATCCCATCTATAGTTAGACTTTGGGTAGCGCAGTTAAGAGCAAAAAATTTATTTACTTTTGTTCTTGTTGTTTAAACTAATAGACTATACTTAAACTTCTGTTTTAGCCTTCACTTATTGCTATGCAATTTGTTTTGCCTTCTTTTTGTTCTTCATATATTTATTTATTATGGTACATTGAGACTCTATGCCGTTTATATGTATATATATATTCGGATTATATATGCTTATGTCAAATGAAATAAGTAATTTAAAAATTTTCATTTTTTGCTTCTTAATAACTTCTTATATAATTTATACACACCCATTAAATTGTTGAAAGTGAAATGTAGTAGGAAGTGCGCATATAAGTATGCTATGGAAATTTCAATTGAGAAAAGTTTTTTTCCTATGCTAAATTGTCCACGTGAAAGCTGATTAAACGCATATTTCGATTTGATTATAATGCAGGGGCCAACATTATAATCGAACAACGTTTCAAATCCTTTATCCTTCGTCTAATTGCGAAATGTGTTTGAAGAAAGAAAAGAGCGAGATTTGACAGATGTACAGAGACAGACAGAGCTGCTAGGTAGGGCATGTGATATATTTTAAAACTTTGTCTTAACATCAAGATGTTTGTTAAAAAAATGGGCAAATTTAATTAATTCGATTATTTTAATTGTTATTTTACTTTAAATTTAAAATTCAAATTTGAAAGTATGAATTTGGAAGTTTGGATCGGAAAATTGAAATATGGAAAATTGATGACAGGCTCAAAGTTTTGCTTTGGTGAGGTGTAAAGTTCAGCAGAGAGAAAAGCGTTGGGTAATGGTATATAAAATAAAAGTTTTTATTGCAAACAATTTAGTTTTTTTACTTTCTTTTTGTTTTTTTTTTTCTTTTTTTTTTTTGTTTGTTTTTGGTTTGAAGTTCCGATGAGGACAATGATTGAAATTGTTGTTAAAAACTAAATGAAAATGCCGCGAGTATAATATAGCTTAGTGTACGCATGAGTGCCTAACAATTAGTTAAAGATTTAAATGAGCAATAAATAAGAACAATAAAAAACAACAAAATATTGCTTACGCTTAGCATAGTTAACAATTTACGATATGACATAATAACAACAAAAAGTAATTATGATGATGTCTTTTCTTTTTCTCTTTTGCTTCCATTAACAATTAATATCAACTGACGACACAACTCGCTGGTTCCGTTTCCTGTTTCCGGTGCCTATGTCTACATCTGCTTATGGGCTGACAATATACTCGGGATTCACATAGGAGAAGCCCACAAACTCTGACTGATCCAGATTCATCATAAACACTTTGTCCGTGGGCGTCAAGTCTGTTTTCTCTGATGTGAATTGCTTATCAAAATTGGACACATCCTTGCGATGTTTCTGTGGCAGAAGCGTAAGAAAGGCAATTTATAGTTATTTATTTTTCGATCTCGTGCGCGACTTACAATTTTTGGCTTAAACGGCGGCTGCACCTCGCGGTTTTCTATCTTTTCCCAGTCGATGCGTCGGAAAAATGGATGCAAGCGCACATCCTCCTCACCGGTGGAGCCACAGCCCAAGCGCTTGCTGGGCTGCTTAGTCAAAAACTGTAAAGATATTACATATGATAAAGATATACATCGTAGCTTAGACATATTGTATAGTAGCTTACGCCCTTGCACGCCTCCTTGGCCTCTTTGCTGAGACTCTTGGGATAGGATACGTTGTGATCGGTTATGGCTGCGAATAGCTCCTCCTCATCCTCGCCATCGAACGGTGGCTGACCCACGAGCATCTCATAGAGCAGCACACCATAGGCCCACCAATCCACAGACTTGCCATAGGGCTGATAGAGAATGATCTGTAAACGGGCCAATTAGAACACTTTTTTTCCCGTTTGGACTAAGCTATTTCACCTCTGGCGCTATATAGTCCGGTGTGCCGCAGAAGGTCTTGGTCGTCTTCTCTCCCATAATATTCTCTTTGCACATACCAAAGTCGGCGATCTTTACGTGTCCATCTGCATCTAGGAGCACATTATCCAGCTTGAGATCCCGGTACAAAATGCCTTTGGCATGCAAGAAGAAAAGACCAGCTGCAATTTCCGCAGCGTAGAAGCTATACGAACGCAAAGAAACTTTAAAAACTCCACTTGGCAGACTGAGAACTTCTACTTACACGGCAACGGGCTCCTTGAATTTACCGAATTGTTGGATTTGGAACATTAGATCACCGCCGTTCACATACTCCATGACAAAGAACAGACGATCCTGTGGGAAAGTCAAAAGTTTGCTGTTGTTGTTGTTGTATATCAGCATTACGCATACGCACCATTGTCTGAAAGCAAGAATGCAGCTGGACAAGAAACGGCGGCTTCTCGCCCAGCGCCAATACACGCTTCTCAATCATGGTGCATTCGACATCATCGTCCTGTATGATCACATCCTTTTTGAGTATCTTAATCGCGTACAGCTCCTCGCTGCCCTTGCGCTCTGCCAACAACACCTGTAACACTCTAAACATTTAATAAGGTTCATTGAATGGAAAGCGAGCTCTTGTTTTACCTTTCCAAAAGATCCCTTGCCCAACACTTTGATGAAATTGAAATCTGTAGCTCTTATCATATCCTTTTTGGACTGCGAATGTGTGTGTGTGTCGCAACGCATCATTGGCTGCTTGCGCTGCGACGGCTTCTGCTTGAGCTTAAGCAAGTCCTGCTGATCATCCGCACAGGGCACGTTATAGTACTCGCCCTCATCCTGAGTGAGCAGCTTGAACCAGCCATTGGTGGGATTCTTGATGATCTCCGAAATGCCAAACGATAAAGCGCCCATAAAATCATTACGCGAGGTGCGATCCCAGTCCCAGACCTCGATCAAAATGCGGCGATCCTTATCCTCCGGCTTCAGATCGCTGCGAAAATTGAGCTATGCATGAACTGAGCACATGAGATGATAGCTGATTGAACTTACTAGCTTAGAGTCTCATTCCACACGGGATTCAGGCACGCCTTGATCGTGCGCGTCTTCTTCTTCGATTGATCCTTGTCATCTGGTATCAGCTTGACCTTCACATACGGATCGCTCAAGCCGTTGGGATCCATGGGTATTAGATTGCGACCCTCCTTGACTGCAATCAGAAACGTGACCATAGACAGTTTTTTTTTGTTTCACTGCAAGCGCAAAATTGTATAAAATATGCCAACGCATTATCCTGGCCATTGTTATTGTTCACGTGCTTCGGCTGCTTTTCATCTGCTTCTCCTGCTTTGGTTTAAGATATTTTTATCACGCTTTTGTTCAGCAACTGCATTTTAGTATTCATTATGTGGCATATTGTGTGGAGAGAGTTTTTCTTCATAATGAATTAATGCAAATCATAAGCAATTTGCCAGCGTCGCAGCTGGGGGACGTAACCATCTCCCCAAGGCACTGCCAAGGCTTGAATATTAAATTCAATCCTGTGCAGGTTTTGAATTCGAAGAGTGAGCTAAATAAATAACTGAGACTTCTCTTAGTTAAGTCGTTAGCCAAAAGGCTCAAGGCAACCGAGTGGGCACAAGTTAAGTCTTTGCAAGTTTTCTTTAAGTAGTTATATATATATATAAAATATAAGAACTGAAAAATGTGACATTGGAGAGCGTTGAGTTAAGCATTTCTTAACAGATTACTTAACAGATTTATATCAAAAGCTCGCAGGTAAAATAATCGACAAATATGTGGTTTTCCAAAGCTATTTTATTTTGATTTTAGTTTAATTTTAAATTAAGAAAAGAAACATAAATCCAAACTTATTTTCGCTTTTCATATGAACATGTTTAGTTATAGAAAACTTAAAAGAAAATGTTGTCTGTTGTCAACTAAAAGCGTGAAGCTCTTACTTGTAAGCTAACTGGCTTTGGTGGAGCAGGATGGCTTATGTAAAGAAGAAACATTGAAATAATATTATATTAAGAGCTGAAAAGCATGTAAACCTGTTAAGATGCGTAATACTTGACAGATATGAAAAGAGAAGGCAGAAGAGGCAGCGCTCAACGTTCTAAGCGTCTTGTTAGTTGAGAAAAGAAACGAAAACTTTGCGACAGCTTTTCATAATTTTTATTACATTTCTGCTATCCGCTTTCGTAAAGTTGTGAGTGGGAGGCTTATGGTTAACTTGTTGGGCGCCGTAATTGGTTAAAACTTAAGCGCTTTATATTTGTATTTCGGCGACGGGAGATGGTAAACACTTAAGAGCTGTTGCTGCTCGTTATACGCTGTGAATGGGGGCACTTTTGGGCCGTACTTACTGTGCACTGTGAGTAGATTCTCTTTGACATTTATCTCGAGATAGATGCGTCCACGTCGCTCTGTATGATCGCAGCCGCACAAGCTGGGCACGTTCTCCTTGCAGCGGGCATGAACGTTCATATCGCATGCTAAATAAGTTCGGGCGGCAGGTCACAGTTCATGGGTCACGTAGTGGAATAAAGATAAGTCGCTTGTTAGAGGCCACTTGGCAAACATTGAAATAGATGGTCAAGCCGTGGACAAAGTTACAGCATAGATTGAAAGTGATTTCTTTGGCAGGAAAAGCAACAGGAGGCAAGGAATCGCACACACACACACACACATACACACGCTTACAGGACAGGCAACAGGATACGCATACAAAGTGAGTTTTGATATAGCTCAAGTACTTACCCCACTGTCCAGATGCCCATTGAATACAAAAAATTAAGCCACATAAAACTGGTTTCTTCGACAAGCCGAAGTTTGCATGTCCTACAGACACAAACACTCGTTACTTAAACGACTATGTGGACTGATAGATATATTGAGTCTATGGATTTCCGACTTCCAACAAAGTGCATGTACTCTCAACAAGTGTATATAAAAAGGCCTTCAGAACGCTGGCAGACATCTGCGCTCAGTTATCAATCAGCGTGCCAATCCAATAAACTCAGCCCGTTCGCTGTTTGCCCTTAGCCTATTGCCACGCCCACGCTGCACAGATGGCCCATGCCCACATGCGAGATAGAACATCAACGCCAATTTGTGTTGTCGCCTGCAATTCGCAATCAATTTGGCAACAGCGACGGGAAATGAAACGCTGCACAAAAACTGTTGCATAGTTCAAGGCGCACATGTCGCAAATGGAGATTATACACATACATACACACATGTGTCCGGGTAGAGTTGTCCAAGAGGATTGCCGCAGCACTGAGCACTACTCGAAGCCCATTGAATTGGAAATTATTGCGAAATTGGAATTGTAATTCACTTTGCATTCGCCACGCTGAGAACTCGACTAACCATAGTGCTTGAAACGCAAATCGCATTTCGAATACCCTGTTTCATTGTGGAAAACTGTGTATTTTCCCTCGTTTTTAGTGAGTTTTGTGAGTGAACTTTTTGCAAATTGGAGCGCTCTGCGTGATGTCATGTTAAAAGTATGTTAATTGATTCGATTTGGTAATAGAAAACTCGATTTCATTATGCCAAATATGCTAATCCTCCTACTCGTTAATGGAAATGCATATCTTTCCATGTGGGTGAATTTATTTTATTTAAGAAAACATCTATGAGTAAGTGCTAATACCTCTTTATTTGTGGTTCAATCTTTGGACTTTCTTACTACTATCAGCATGCTCATAAGCATAAGCAGGTTACTTAATAGTCGACTTCTCCGTTCAGCATTCCTTCCCCTGCCTCATTACCTCATTATCATTTTTATTAATATCATCTACGGCTATTATCGACGATTTATAATCCTGTTTATTAGTCTATATTTTGACTTATAATTAAGTGAAGAGCATCTGACAGTCTCTCAGTACAGACCATATCTTCTGCTTACTAATGACGATAACCTTAATTGACCGCTCATTATCATTATCATCATATTCATCAGCACATGTGCCTTATGATTGTCAGGCTTTTTGGACTCTTTTTGCTTCTCCTTCAGGGCCTGCATCATTGGCTGATTTCATGGCATTTTTTTGGCTTTTGTTGTTCGCTTTTCTTGCGCTTTCTTTTACCGCCGAGCTACTCATGTGTAAAATTACTTGGGACATTTTACTATCCTACCCTTTTCCTTTGCACGGCACCACTACATTTGCTATGAAATGTATGCGCCATTGGATGCCTGCATCGACGTCATTTGACAGCCGAGCCGCACGAGGCGAATACGTATTTTGCGAAACTTTCGCTTGTTGCATGGAGAAAAAAGTGTAATCATTTTTTGATGTCCACAAGCTGACTCGGCGCTGGGCATGGGGCGTGGCAGGCTGGTCAGTACTGTTAGTCTCTGTGTTGTGTTTAATGAAAATATGGAAGAGTTTTTATTTCTTTTTTGTGCGGCACACAAAAACACAACATCGAGCAAATAACAAAGGAGAGAGAAAGCAAAATAAAAGAGGGTTTTCCCATAGCGTGCCACATTTTGCGGCAACAAAAATGCCAGCCAACAAGTGTGTGTGCGTGTCCGTATGTGTGTTGTGTGTGTTATGCTTATAATGTGGCCCAGTTTTGGGTAAGCCAGTTTTTTGCGTAAAATTATTTATTTATATAGCTACATATGCAGGCCTTTGTAATGGACTCTATATATTTTAAATACCCTATGAAACATTAGAGGTAAGGGGAGTGCTGTGTGTAACTAACCATACGTGCACGTAGCATAGCTACAACTTACATCTACTAAGAAAATGAAAAGTCTATGGAATAGTTAAATCAAAATTCGTATATCAAAAACTTCGATTGATATACCTTACACAGTTTTTTACAGGGCATTCCTCTTGCTCTTGCTTTTGCTAGTAGTTTAATGCCTTTTTACACTCGTTAGTGCATATTTAAGTCACAATTTTTGCAATCCCTTTCTAAGAATTTCAAACCACATAATCTTCATCATCAAAAATTCCATAGTTGGTTTTTAGTATTCAGCACGGCTTGTGGCCTGCAGGCCTCAGACTATATATAATAATAATGAGTTCAGTTTTGGAGTGCGCTCTGAAACGTTAAGTAATAACCTGCTTGTTGCTTGCTTAATGAAAATCCAACTCGAATGCTAAAATTAAGCTATACTATTATTAATAACTACCTTCCACTTTGTGTGTCTCTATAAATCTGCATTTATAGAAATTCAGCTGCTCTTATAATGTAAATGAGTTTTGCTGCTAGTTGCAAGTCCAATACAATAAGGGATCGTCATTCAATCGTCATTTATTCTTCTACTTCAAACCTATTTTTAAATTGTAATTTTTAATTATAAATTGCATACTATCAAAACTTCTGTAATGATTACTTCTTGTGTTTATTTTTGTAAAATTTGTAGTTTGTAATTTGCATTTAAATCTGCATAGGCTAGGTTTGTCGTTTTAGTCCTTTACCTGATCCAAATTGTTCATTTTATAGATACAAATAACTGCAAAATGTTTGCTTTATAACAACTTCTGGTCCAAACGTGTTATCAAATCGAATCTTATACAATTTAATTTCAATGCAAAATCCTTTGAATCTCATTGGATGCTGTGGTTTCCCACTTTTAGTGTTATCTACTCCAATTAAGTAGTAAATTTTGTAACTGTTGTAATTAACATATTCAATTATATTGATGTATATCTATTATAAATAATTTTCACCCGTTTTCCCATTACTAGATGCTAAATAATTCAGAGGCGCAAATGAGGCAAAACCCAAAACATAATTCCAATAGAATTACAAACGATATTAAACTAAGGCAAATGGCACGCACACACGTGTATGCACAAAATTGGCGCTCGATAATGACAGATACACACACACACACACTCGCTCGCATATACACGCACTTCCGGTACTGGCTGCGGCTTATTGTTGTAGGATTTTCTGTCGCCACATTTACATTTCCATTCGCAATCTGTTTGCTTGGCTCTGTTTCCAATGCGTGTGTGTGCGTGTGTAGTGTTGTCTGTTTATCTATTGTTGTTGGTTCTGGTTGTAGTTGTGTTGTGTTTGTCTGGCCAGGGGCCAATGAGGCATAAGTAAATTATTTGTTTGCCAAGGGGCCAAACCGGATATTAAGGCAACAATTTGCGCCGTCTAACAAATGATTTGGAAAATTGCGCATTTCGTTTTTATTTTCCCCTCTTTGAAGTTGTAGAAAACCGAAAAAAAATAAACAAACTAAACTAGATTAAGTAATACAATTAACATTTAAGAGCAGCTGAAATCAAACATTTTTTATTTGATTGAAAGCATGTGGCAGCATTGCAAATGCTCTCAGCCAAATGCAAATGCAACAGCTACAACCAAAAACAAACAACAACAAACTGCTAAGTGCAAGTAAACAAATGCATTAGACTTGGTCGTCGGGATGGGCGTTTGGGCGTGTGGGCATGTGGGCGTGGCACGGTGCAAGGGCGGAAACTTGTCAACAACAAGCGAAATGGCGACAATCACAATAACATCAACAGCAACTCAAGTACGTCACACACACATACGCATACACACACACTTAGCCCACACACACACACACTTAATGCACACTCACACGCAGCGTGGCAAGTGCGCACTTGAGCCGGAACAAAGCGTTGCTAATTGTAAATTGCAACAATCCAAAATAAAAAAAAATAAGCGAGTCAACGAACAGACGAGACGGCAGGCATTTTGCTTAGATGCTAAACAGAGAGACGTAGGGCTAGAGATGGCAGCGTGACACGAACTTCACAAGCCAAAATTTAAAAATATATTCTTCAAATCGGGAAGTAACCGAAATTAAAAAAGAAAATAAATTAAATAAATCTATGTTAAAAAAATTATAATAGTACACTAAATTAAAATAGTAAAATTTTAATAGTAAATAAATAAAAATATATTAAAATAAAAAAATATTAAGTGAAGATTTTCAGATCTTAAAATCAAAAAAGGAAACATAAAATTTATCCTTCATCTGTAAACCTAATTATCATACTAAACTAAGTCTGAATATCGATAATAAAGAGATCGGATAAGCTATCGGTACATATAGAGGTTCATGATATCCATTTTTCATATCAATATCATTTATTAGCCTTTTGTAATTTAAATTACAGCCAGTTTGATTTATACTAAAAGCAAACAGGATGTGTAAAACCATCGCCTTTATCGTGACACATGCTCATCTTTAGCCAAGATGTATGTGCTTTATATATAGTAGATGCAAGGCTAGAGATGAGCGCGTGAAATAGATGATAATAAATAGATAATAATTACAAATACTCAGTTTTTCTCACCGTTAATAAACACATGGTATAGTAATTCTTTTCTGCTAAAATAATAATTATTATAATGCACAAAAAAATAAAATTTAAATTAATTAATTAAAATACTTTTCTAAGAGAGATATTATTTAAATGTAAATAAAATAAATATATATTAAATATTTTCCATATTCATTTTTCGCGCATCACTAACACATCTCTAG